ATTACTTATTTTATAAGATCTTGATTTATTTACTAATTATCTTGATTAAAATCTAAATACATAATAATATATACTTTAGTATATAAAAATTACTGATTATCAGAAAGTAGATTATTTATAGTTAGTTTCTCTTTGAAAGATAAAGATACCTAATTAATTCACAAATAAAATTATTTATATAGATATTAAGATCTTGAAATTTATATTAAAATTAATTTTCTTTTATAGAATTCTATATTTTAATAATACTATTATTAGCATAAAAACTAATTCATTATGAATAATTAGGACAAGTTCAAGAATATTAAATAGAAATATTAGCAAAATAACTTGCTCTATATTTTCTTCTTTATATACTATTATTCAAGATTATAAATTAGTTATTTGTTTAAGAAATTAATTTTAGTATATTACTATATTATTACACTTATAATTATTAAAGTAAATATTTTTTAAATAATTTTTATAGTTCTAGCTAAGATAATATAATCATGATTGAACTATTATTTTAGAAATTATTTTCTTTTCTTGAATCTAAAAGTTGATATAATCTTCTTTTCAATAAACTTTATAAAATAATAAAGAGTAAAGTAAATTTATTCATATATAAATATTAAAAAATATATAACTTGAAGTCTTTATGATGCAAAAAAGAGATTTTTAAGTAATATATATAATATAATATATAAAGTTTATCTTTATTTAATTATTAATTTATCTATAAATAAATAATTTGTGCATGCTATAGATCTCTATTAATATTATGTATCAGAAATTTACTAGCTAATAACTTAGAAAATTCTTGATTTTGAATAAGATAAAGAAATTAACTTATTATATGAATTTGTATATTCTTAAACTTTTTTGTTAATAAAGTATTAAAAGATATTAAATTAAATTTATTATAGTTATTATCATTATTATCACTGGAATTAACTGCTTCATCAAATAAAAGATCTATCTTATTATGAATGAAATTTGCTTTATTATTGATAGAGAAGTTATCAGAAAACTAATTAATGATTTTGCTAGAGCCTGCAGCTACTTTTTTTAAGACTGCTCTCTTATTATATAATATTAATTCTATAAAGCCAGCATAAAATTATTTTTACTCTTTTATTATTTATATATTTAGTTATCTTACTTGTTTAATAAATTTTTCAAATATACTTGATTTTATTTCTTTTAATTCTTGTATAAATTAATTATTTATAGTATTATTATCTTCTGTTTAAGTAATATCAAAGCTTGATTTATCATATTTGATATTTGATACTTATAGTGACAATTAAAAATAATGTAATATTCAAATCATAATTTTTAAATCATTATATTTTTTTCAAATTTAAAAATATTAAATTATAATTGATATAATTAAATAATACAATGCTATAGATTAATATATTATAAATTTAATATGAATTATTAATTTACTTTTTTTCTAAATTCAAAAAATATTTAAAATTTGGTGTTGTATTATTTTTGTTCTTTTTCTTTGCAGATTAAATAACATAATAAAAGTTATATAATCTTGATAACATACTATAATAATTATTGATCTGTTTTTTTTCTCTTAATATTGAAGCTTCTTAATATACAAAAGAAAATAAAGTACTATACAAGTCCAGAAGAAAGAGCAGAAATAATTCTCACTCTTGAAAAAGAATACTTTGCATGAGAAATTGCAAGAAAATAAAATATTAATACTTCTACTATTACCTATATAAATTAAAGATGACATTAAAATTATATTTTTTCTAATACTGACAGATCTGATTATTTAAATATTATGAATGAGAAACTAGAACAAAAAATGATTAATCTGATCATTTCCTGTAGGTACTCAACTGCTATCAAAGTTCAAAATTATCTTCATAAAAATGAAATTCTCAAAGTTTTTGTACCAATCATCTACTGTATATTCAATAATAATAGGTTAGTATCAAGAGTAAAGCAAAAAAAGTTATATTTGAAGAAAGAATATTGGAAATATAGGCTAGAATTTGTAAAAAAGTATAAAAATTAGATTGAAAAAGAGTGAGCAAGTATAATCTGATCTGATAAGTTAAAATTCAATATTTTCAGATTAAATAAGTACAAATACTATTGAAAAAAAAAAGAAGAGCTACTAAAAAGCATATATATCAAATCTACAGTTAAATTTAGTGATAATGAAATAATGATATAAAGTTGCTTCACTGCTTATGATATCAATTATCTTTGTAAGATCAAAGAGATTATGAATAATATATTATATAAAGAAATTCTTGTAGGAGAACTTATAAATACTATTAAATATTATAATTATATGCTAAAGGATGTTGTTTTCCAATAGAATAATAATCTGAAGTATATAATCATAAATATGAAAAAATAATTTATTAATAATGAAGTTAATATGCTTGATTGGCCATCCAAATCATCTGATCTTAACCCAATTAAGCATCTATAGAGTATTATTAATTGCTATCTATATCATCTTTTGGATATGATTTCAGATAAGGAGAATCTGTAAGAGTGAATTCAGAATGTATAAAATAATATTGAAGTCAAGATATATACTTGTCTTATCAAGTCAATATCAAAAAGAATATTAGATATAATAAAGACTTGCAGTAAATATACAAGATGGTAAAGCTGAACTAGGTTAGTTAGTTTTTAAAAAAAAATGTAAAAAAAATTTTTTTTATTGATGTATATGAGTAATTTTTATTGTATTTAAAAAGAATAAATATAATATAACATATAATATTGAATATATTTTTAATTTAAAAAAAATTTAAATTATTAATATAATAATAAATTTATAATTATAAAATTGTAGTATTATATTATTTAATAATATCAATCATAATTTGATATTTTTTAAATCTGAAAGAGATATGATGATTTAAAAATTGTGATTTGAATATTACATTATTTTTGATTGTTATTGTATATATTAAATTAATTATTTATAGTATTATTATCTTTTATTTAAGTAATATCAAAGCTTAATTCATCATATTTAGTATCAGATGCTTATATATTAAGTATTAACTTATTATTTTATCACTTTTTTACTTTTTGATAATAATCAAGTAGTATCTGATACATTTATTATGTCTGAATATTATTTATAAAAAATTTGTTAATAAATTAATTTAAAAAATGAATAAATTAAGAGAATAAATAAATTGAGAATAAATCATTTCTTAAAAAAATTCTCAGGTTCTAATAATGAAAAAACCAGAATATTTCCTAAGTTACAAATAAAGATGTACTTACTTCATACATAAAAGACAATATTTTTTTAAATTGTCCAGGATAGTTAATTATTTGAAAGTCTAATTATTATTCTCACAAATATCTATATAGAAGAAAAAAATTTTTTGGCTTTCACACAAGCATTAATCATGTGAAAATCACATGAATCATTACTTATATAGTATGATAATCGCTCCCACACCCTCCAAAAAGTTAAATTTATTATATAATATATGCATATCGAATTTCAGTGATGGCCAGTCATTTGATGTCTTTAGACTTTCTGCATCATATTAAGAAATTAAGTCATATTTCAGATCAAATATGCAAAAGTTTCCCGAAGCATGTCAAAAAAATGATCTAAAATTAGAAGCACTAAAATAAATCAAATCATATGACTTTAAATTAACGAAATTAAGGCTTAAGTAATGTGACCCTATAATAAAATCCTTCAAAAATTCAAATTATTGCGATATATTTAAATACTCAGAAATTTTGCTTTTTTACGATTTGTTTTCTGCAGGTATCTTTCAATCTTGCTAGATGAAACAAAATATCCTCTGATTGTATATTCAAGGAAAAATAAGTAGCAAGCAAAGAATATATTTCTTCTACTGTATTTGTCTGATTTCCGAAAAATGGCTAGAGGAATCCCGGTTGATATATTAATTATCTCGGCAATGAACTTAACTTCCGAAATCAGATGAAAATGGGTATCAAGAAATGGAGGTTTTAAAAATTTTGTGTCAACCACAGATAAATCAAAAATTAGAATTTTGCACCTGGGATTTTTCTTTTTATAGCGTATATATAGTTCGGAGAATTGATTACTAAATCAGAAGTTTTTGCCTAATCAATTTTTAGCTCGATATAAAATTATCTCATTTTATTAAAGAAGATAGGAGCTCACGCTTTTAGAATACATAGAGGTAAGAATGACAATATTTTTGACAATTATCCTGTAGGTACAAGATAGGACATGTTTTATCGGTTTAAAATTACGGCGTAATGAATGATAGGACACTGATTATTCTTGCAATTGAACAAGAGAATACACTAGAAGTTTAAATGCTACACATTTTCGTAGGTTTAAGCAATAAAAAATCTCGTGTGCATTATTTTTTTCTTAGCGTAAATTACATGAATACCCAGTCTCTATTTTATTTTCTGAAGCACACATCGTATATAAGCATAAAAACTTAAAATAGATGCCGAAACTTTTATTATCTTGATAGATTCAAGATATATCAGAATATATTTATTCTTTTTCGATATATTACTATAGGAACATTTCATTCACTTCGCAAGTAACGCAGAATTTAATTATTAATTTATAGTATTTGTGTATATTAATTGTTCACAGAGATTGTAAGATCAAAGACATTTCTACTAATATGGTGCAGTAAATACAAGCATATTTTTATTTTTCTTATCCTTCTTCACAATTGGGAGGGTGTTGTTTTTTCTAATAAATCTGAACAAAGAAAATAGTTATAAAGCATTAGTTGTGAAAAATGAGCAAAATCTACATACATACAATGTTCGAACTCAAACACAGTTCCATCATCCGACACTTCCCATGCTACCCGACCAGTCTTGAATTCTTTCTTTGCCCTTTCGAAATAATCTCCGAGAAATCATAATACACCGCTCATAGAGTCCCATTCAAACACACGACCGCAACAATCCATTCATAGGGACGTTCTCCGACAACGATGATGTGATCGAAGCAATAAAGTTTAACTGGTTCTAATTCATATCTTTGAAGAGTTCAAGTCCAAGAGATGACAATTGGGTTCACTTTTGACTTTTTCAGCTAATATGGGATGATTATTGCGATACCCTTGCGATTTATTATATTCCCGTTGACACATGACACATGAGACATCACCGTCTTGTCTGATAATCTGATTTTCTGAAAGTATAAAAACGACATGGTGTCTTTGAGGTTTCTTTTGTCTGTGTGGTGCTTTCCAAGATAGCAACTCGGGGCAATTGTCCCAAGGCTGGCTGCATCTCTTAGATTCTTTCTTAGTTAGGACAACATTCGAAAGGCACCACTGCAATGCCAGTATCATTTTCACCCTTGACTCTGCTGCTAGGTTATTGTTTTCGTATATCAGCGCTTTCATTGGTTTCGTTAGTACTGTTCCACAACGGATTCATGTAGCTTGCAATCTTCCCTTTCCAGTTGAAAATGTGAGATTTACTGTGGTAAGATGGGCCAACACATTTATCTCCATCCTCGAAACCATGAAGCTTCAACATCTTCATCAGATATGCAGTCTGGTCTTGGAATGTCGTTCTTTTTTGAGGAGTCCCACTTATATGGTATGTCCATAGAAGACATATAACGTCCAAAACTGTAATCATCATTATCAGTCGAAAACGGGGCGTTGTTGCACAGGTCGAACAGGGTAGGTACAAACTGGCTAGTAAAATATGGATGATATCAGCTGGTAAATCTTGGGCAAAATTTTTCCAAAAAAGTTGCATTTCTGTCTATTTTTGCCCACATTTTAGATAGGTCGAACAGTATTGGATTTTGACAGGATAAACTCAGATGTCAGGTTTATCATGTCAAAACTACGTGAATTCTTTGGGTAGTTTTGTTATGGTTACACTGTAATTTGAATCGATCTTTGTAGCCTTTACGCAATCGATAGTTATACACGGTTGATAAACAACATACGGGTTCTACGGGTTGGTCAAGACTATACCTAAAATTGCTGAGTATTTTCGAGTTATTGACGATTTGTCAGTTTTTGCTTTTTTTTCGGCACAAAAAAATTCGTATCGGCGATCTAAAAATGATTGGTTAACCAACATGAAGTATGTTCTTCGATTGTTTAGCAATCTTAATCTAAAATAGGGGCAAAATATAGCCTTATTCTCGCTTTTGGGCAAAAAAAGGGGTAAATTGTAATTTTGTACTTTTTTAGTACCAGCTCCAACAGCAGCCTCCCCATTTTCCGGCAGCGGAAAATTGGAAGTTCTGGTTTACCCAAGGTGAAACCTACTCCGCTCGACCTGTGATGCTATCTTCTCCTCGGTACCGAATGGGATAACTGTCCCCTGATCCTACATAAAATATGGTTTGTTAGCACAGCCGGTCATATTTGCATACTTTCTGTTAAACTAAAATACCTGAAGGGATCGATGAATTCTGTTATCAATTTTCTTGCAAATTAATCTAATTACACATATTGAAACGTGTAATAAGTATACAAAAAGGGGAACCGTTAAAGCGTTGTACCCACGTGACATATGTGGCTGGTATCCATTTCGAATGGCGATCCGCCGCCGTAGTCGGAGATCCCGAGTGTGCAATATATAATATAAATCGAAGTGTGCAATACTGTATGTAACGGTAATATATAAAGTATGATAAACATCAAATAACCTTTTTGACTCGTCCGTACCTACAAAATTACTAATGTCTTGAGAATATTGTTATGCAATGTTAGTTAGGAGCTGTTTCTTTTAATGCTGCTGGCAGCATGTTCTTGGTAGTCAGAATTACAAAGTAATAAGTGTAATGTTGAACAAAGTGGGGCTTTTTTTTACTTTATTTTATTACTAACATTGTAATGTTGAACAAAGTGATTTTTTTTTTACTTTTTTTATTTATCACTAACATTATTCACTTACAATTAAATGGTGTAATGGCAACTAGTAATGAGAAATAGCCACTTGATAACAGAGGGATCAAGAAATAATGAGTTTTTTTTTTTACTTTTTATTATTATTTACTAATGTTATAAATGATATGGCAATTAGTAATAAGGAATGATCTCTTAAAGTGAAGAAATCAAGGGATAGTGTGTTAGCAATTAAAAGTGAAGAGATCAAGAGATAGTAAGTTGATTGATAGTATTTGCTTGATCATTTTTATAGTTTGATAGTAATTTTTCTTTTGGGTAATTTGCAACTTCAAATAAAAAGTACAGTCTTCTCGAATATTATATTTGAACTCTATTTAAAGATCTAATAGCAACTCCTGAAAAAATCCATTTTTCACTTCAAGTACCTGAAAAAAAATCATTTAATATTATTGATATTATACTCAAATAATTAAACAAATTAATATATTATTATTCATTTAAAAATCACTTAAATTATTGTACTTAAATAATAATTATGGAAATTAATATATTATTTTAAAAAAATCACTTAATATTATTTTGCGTAAATAATAAAAATATAAATTAATTTAAAACTGACTCTAAACTAACTTTTAATTTTTTCATAAATAAAAATGTTTGTTTGATATTTTCCCCTTCCTCAACTCATCAATATGTATTTCTTGTTCTTTTCATCAATTTATTTATGATCTGTTATTAATCTTCAATAGCTCTCTCACATTTAGTTTTGTCAGATGCCACCATCTCTTCCAAGTCATGATGCTTATATATCTCAAATTCACATCCTTCAAATATTTGCTGGAAATTTTCTCAAGCACCGGTTATTAATAATTTCTTAGCTCTATATATATGCTCATGAAAGATATTTTGACAGGGCAAGCAATACTTATAGAAGAATAGACAATAATATTCAAGTGATATTAAACCAGGCTTCACTTTGCCATGTTCTATCCTCTTTTTGATGGTACAAACCTTACTAACAATTATTTGTTGGATTGGAAAAGGAAACTTGTGAATTTCATCAAGAATTTTACAGTTGATATTATCAACAGAAATCTTCATAGTATGAAATTTAAAGATGGTATACTCAGAATCTGAACACTTCTTTTTATCAAGTAAAATAACGTGATGGTATGCACCTAATAAAAATCATTAGAATTATTAGAATTAGTAGTAAATAGCATGCAAACATTAGAGTATAAAAAAATTATATCCTACTAACTAGATCATGATGTGGAGAGATTCTTTGTTTTAATTCACTATAGTAGGACTCCAAGATATTTGTTGAAGTCACCTGTAAAAGAAAAGAAGAGTATTGACAGGCCCAAAGAGCCCACTGATATATATTTTGCATATAGTTTCTTAGGATGTACTGCTAAACAATAGAAATCAGATAATTATTTATCGCTTGTTAGATAGACTTCTCACAAGTAATTTTTGTTAATTTATGCATCACTTGATTCATTTTATCTCATGTTTTTACATGATAGATCTTGTCTATTCAAGTCTGCATAATATAAACAGTGCAAAAGAGAATATCATACTCTTGCTTACCTTTTTGAATATTCAGAAATGCGATTTTGATACTGTTAACCTCCACATTATTTTGATCTGCAAGAAAGTACCAAGACTTCCAGCAGCGAGCAAGTCATCAAATTATTATTAAGACTTCTGCTATCATATTACTAGTTTCATTACTTACAAAAAAATATTCTCCCACATCTCAACATCCATATTCATCATGGATATATAGTGTAAATAAATGCCAATCATATTTATTGATTTTATGAGTTGAATCAATAAGTGTTAATCACTCATATTTTTGAAACTTTTGAAGTTGATTCAGATTCACGAAGACAAAGCCTTAAGTAGACTGTTGAATAGTTTGATAACATTCAATTAAATATTTTTTATTTGCTAGTAAAGAAATTGCTTTATTTATATTGAACTCTAGATTAATGCTATCAATAAAATAGGAGGATTGATTTTGATTAGTCTTATATTTTATATTAGTAAACTCTGTTCATCTTAGTTCTTCAATACTAGAATTGAGATTCAATTTTTCAGTTGCATATTCTTTAATAACGCACATGATTTCTGATGATGAATAATTCTTAATAGCTTCATTTTTAACTAAGATACGAATAACCTGTGATTATTTTAGTCTTTTACTATCTTTCAAAATATGTATATGGTCAGAAAAATCATAATATCATTCAACCCATATTTTTTGTTCAGTGACAAATTGAGTCACTTTGATTTTTGCGAAGCACAAATTTGCTAGTTGGATTGTTGATTTTTGACATTTCTCACTTGGTATTCCTTCTTTTTGAGTGTTCAATTGCTTATATTTGTTGAAATGATAAATATAAGTCTTCCACAAATTACTATTAACATGATATTTATAGTTGAATGTAATCTATATATTCATAACCAGAGGCCATCACTTGTTATTAAACTCAGGCAGCAGGATTTCAAGTGGTTGATTAATATTAAAGAGAATAACACACTTTTGATCAGGCATTAAAGTTATGAAGTCTATTTCAAGTTCATTATAAAGTAATCGAACATGTTTTTAGTTTTTGGAGAATGTGTTTTTGATTTTTTATATATGCATGATTGGCATGTACTCAAATTATAACATACCAAAAATAAAAAATACCAAAAAATAAAAGTGAATAAATGATTATATAGTGAATAAGAAATGAAATGGAGAATTGAACAACAAGAAAGGAATTTGTAAGTGAATAACATTAGTGATAAATAAAAAAAGTAAAAAAAAAAATCACTTTGTTCAACATTACGGCATTAGTGATAAAATAAAGTAAAAAAAAGCCCCACTTTGTTCAACATTACACTTATTACTTTGTAATTCTGACTATCAAGAACATGCCGCCAGCAGCATTAAAAGAAACAGCTCCTAACTAACGTTGCATAACAATATTCTCAAGACATTAGTAATTTTGTAGGTACGGACGAGTCAAAAAGGTTGTTTGATGTTTATCATACTTTATATATTACCGTTACATACAGTATTGCACACTCCGATTTATATTACATATTGCACACTCGGGATCTCCGACTACGGCGGCGGATCGCCATTCGAAATGGATACCAGCCACATATGTCACGTGGGTACAACGCTTTAACGGTTCCCACAAAAAGGTAAAAGCAAATCTTGACTTACTTGTTTGCCATATATGGTAAAAGTGGGGGTACATATATTATAACGAAGAGAGTGTCTCGATGGCTAGTGATCATAATCGCACAAAAATACCATCATTTGATTCGCCATAACTAGACGAATCGAAGGGTGATATTTTGTGGGGTGCTGCCCAAAATCCCGAAAGCCAAAAGCCCAATGCCCAACATCCCGAACGCCCCAAAATCCTGAATGCTCAAAATTCCGATTCACAACCCCAACATTTTGACATTCCTAAAAAATAACTAAAAGTAAATGGTATGAAAGAGTAAGGGTAATGTAAGGCTAGTACAAATTTCGCTTTTTACAATCGTTACGATAGTGGTAATCATTATTTGTTACACACGCCTATATATATTCCGCATCAATGTTTTATTGCATGATTTTTGAGTGTATTGTCAGAATTTTAGTATGTCTGATTTTGGGAATGTCAGGATGTTGAATGTCGGGATTTTGGATATTCGGGACTATGTGCGTTCGGGATGTTAGACGTTTGGGATTTGGTATTTCAGGATTTTGGGATTTTG